AATATTATTGCATAGCATGCCCAAGGAAAACGTAGGGAGTTGTGAAAAATACTTCATCAACTGGGGTTGGTGGGTGTGAATATGCAGTCCAAACCACAGTTTTATCAAAGTTATCGAATAGACAGCTGGTTAGAATTAATTTCTAAGTAACATTCTGACTGATACATTAATATGATAATCAAATGAAAGAATACAACATCAATTCTGTTTACCACTCAAAAATTAATCATGCTATCTAATTATTGAGAATATAAACATACTATTTGGAGACGATTTGACAAACAGAGTTGATTTGTGACATGTCATAAAGTCTAAATTTTTAACTGTTTCACACAAAGTTGAGCCCATCCGTTTTGCAATGAAAGTAATTAACATGAACCAAATGTACCATGATGATTGTGAGCTACTGATGTCGACAGATATGATTAGTATGTGTCATCAATCGAAAGTGAAATGCCTGGCGGCAGAAGGTTAAGATGATCGAAGAAAAGAGAATGAGAACAAAGGATGATTGGTGTGGAGACGAAGGGACAATCAAGTTTGAAACGATTGATTAAGATTTTACAAATGAAGCATTTATTATATGTTTCTCATATTTTACTGCGGCATTCTGTAATTTTGTATACAAATACACTCGATTGTCCCCAGTTGTGTTCTCGTTCACTACAATGGTAGCTCCTCTGAAAATGAAAATAGGATGTGCGATGAACCTTTTTGTAGTTTACTGTCCATCATGAGTTCCAATTTCACTAATAGCATTGTTAATCTAACGAACGTGAAAAGTGATCTGCTAATTGAACGGCGCTCTATCAACTTCGGGTCTGACAGCCTAAGAATATTAATGAGTGTCATATAAAAGGTATAGTCAGTCAGTCAGTCAGCTGCAACGTAGGACCAGGCACGTATATGCATCGGTCCAAGTTGCCATACCGCATTAGCACAACAAGATGAACACCGGATTCATAGAAGTAGTTAATTCAGTGGTGGGAATATATAGAAGAAAGATTGTGTATAAGGAGATAGTAAAGGAAGAAAGAATTAGTTCCTAGACAGATATGAAGCGATTTTAATCTCCTAATTTAAGGAAGACAGAGATTGTATACACCGACGTCATTGTCATCGGTTCTGAGCCATGTCACTAAGAGTCTCCAACCATTGGTTACGATAGTCACGCGGACCCCAACCAGGCAGTCTTAATCTTCCAACATGGCTCAGACCAGAAGTTAGTGACCTGAAGCACTGATGCCACGTTTAGGTTTGGCCGCCCCTAACTTTCTTACAATTATCCCCTACACTAGTCAGCATTGCGCGTCGTGGTAATCGGTGTTCAGGCATACGCAGCACGTGGCCTAACCATCTCAGTCGATGAAGATTCATAACCTCATCAACTGATTTACCATCATTCCCTAATACCCTGCGTCTAACCTCACTATTACTTACCCGGTGATCCCAGCAGATACCCGCAATATTTCTAAGGCACCTGTGGTCAAATACTAGTAACTTACGAATATCTTCTACTCTCAAAGGCCATGTTTCGCAGCCGTATAGTAGAACGGAACGAACTGCCACGCAGTATACTCGTCCCTTAATTGATAGACGGATATCTCGCCTTCGCCATAGATGACGTAAGTTGGCAAAGGCCAAACGAGCTTTTCGAATCCATGCTGAGATTTCGTCAGACACCAACCCATTAGAGCTGATTAGACTTCCAAGATAAGTGAAGTTATCAACGCGTTCGACTACTTCACCCCCCATCCTTAGTTCAGGTGTTGACGCAGACCAGTCCTGAAGCAACGACTTGCATTTGGAGGGAGAGAAGCGCATCCCAAACATTCTGGCATTGTTGCTCAGTGCTACCAAAAGACTCTGCATTTCATCAGTGTCTTCACCAAACAGGACTATGTCATCTGCGTATTCTAAGTCAATAAGTGGACCTCCTGGAAGGAGATCAATACCCGAGAAGTCAGTCGATGAGAGCGTTATTTCCATCAGGATGTCTATGATAAAGTTAAACAAAAATGAAGAAAGTGGACAGCCTTGACGGACGCCACTTGAGGTTGCAAAAGCTGATGACAGTTCGCCATAGGCTCTGACCCGACTAGTAGTGTTCGAGTAAATTGCCTTCACAAGGTTTATGTATTTCTGAGGTACGCCTTTCAATGACAGACACTGCCAAAGAACCTCTCGGTCAACAGAGTCAAACGCTGCTTTTAAGTCAAGGAAGACCACTATTGTCGGACGCCGATAAGTATGCCTGTGTTCTAGAACCTGACGAATGGTGAATATGTGGTCGATGCAGCCACGACCAGGTCTGAAACCAGCCTGATTTTCACGTGTTTGCAGCTCACGAGTCTTAGTTAGGCGTCCGAAAATTATCGAAGCTAGTATTTTAGATACTATATTAGTTAAACTAATCCCTCTGTGGTTGTCACAGGATGATTTTGACCCTTTCTTAAATATTGGGACGATAAGTGATTGTGACCAGTTAGATGGGATAACGTCTAACTCCCAGATTTTAGCTAAAATATTAGTCAACCTAATCGCTAAAACTAGACCACCATCCTTAAAGACCTCTGGGGCCAATCCGTCTGGACCAGATGCCCTTCCTCGTTTCAGATTGGCTATAGCCTTTTGAACTTTAGTTAGAGATGGGGGACCTACTTCAATGTTCCATTCACACTGTCTGGGAATAGAGGGTAGTTGTAGAGTAGCTGAAGGCCAGCTAAACTGCTCCTTAAAGTGTTCCGCCCATCGTTCTAAGCGTCTGGACTGGGAGCAGATGAGAGTGTCGTCTCTATCCGAAATGGTCTGACTTACACTTGATTTATTAATTCCAGTTTCTTTTATTGGTCTGTAGAGTTGTCTTGTGTTCCCTATAGCCGCCGCCTTTTCCATCTCTTTTGCTTTCGTTGCTCACCACTGCTCACGATCATTCTTTAGACTTTTGCTTAATCTAGATCTGATTTCTTTACGCTCTTCATCGTATTCAGAACCTGATGGGATGAGTTTACGAGAATCTATCAGTGCAATAGACCCTGACGAAATACATTGGTTCTTTGTAACCCTGTGGTTTAAATTAATAATAGATGTCACTGCTGTTTCCACAGCTGCTTGTATGTCTTTCCAATCAACATCTGGGTCAGTCTCGTTTTCAGAACCACTTAAGTGTGACCTCAGTTGTTCCTGGAACCTACTTTTGGTTTTCTCAATACTCAATTCGGTTCTAATGAGTCTTTTTTGTGTGGCTTTTTTGCGTCCAGTGAGGCGCAAGCAGATGCGTGCTCGTACTAGGGCATGATCAGAGTCCAAGCAGGTACCCCAGAATGAGCGACAATCTTCTATTGACCCTCTCCAACGATGACTGATGGCAATATGGTCTATTTGAGTCCATCGTTGGTTTGGTGCAGGGGGTCGCCATGTTAGACGATGTCTCTCCTTATACTTAAAATTTGTGTTTGCTAAAAATAAACGATTGTCTGAGCACAGTTGCAGCAGACGATCACCATTATCTGTTCTCTGTGCCGCAATACTAAAATACCCACCTAAATGTCTTTCTGTTTCGTTTAAGCTACCTACCTGGGCATTAAAGTCGCCTGCTACGAGTACTATGTCTGAACGTTTAGCTTTCTGAAGAAGTTCAGACAGCTTTCTGTAAAATTCATCTTTCACTTCATCCGAACTGCAGTCAGTGGGAGCGTAGGCAGAAACGACGAAAAGGCAACGACGTGTGTCCCTATCCTTTCGAGTTCTTACGGAGCCGTTTAGCCGAACAGCGCATAGACGACTATTAACGGGGATCCACTCTAATAGCGCTTGTTCCGCCCTCATGCTAAGTGCTATGCCTACACCTGCAAGTCCACGAGAACTAGCCATCGGGTCGCCAGATACACGGAGGGTGTATCTCTTCGGCACTCCGTTTTGCCGAGGTGAGGTCGAGTGAATGACCACACTAGGATCCTGTATGCGTGTTTCGGAGACACAGCATACATCAATCGTACGAGATTCTAAGGTTTTAGCCAAGGAAGCCTGCTGACCGATTTGGCATAGTGTGCGTACGTTCAAGGCTCCAATGTGTAGTTTGGAGCGGGGTTTCAGTAGACCTGGGACAGTGTTTTGCGCACTAGAATCGTTGGCAGTGGTGACACTTAAGGAGGAAGCCGAAAGAGGGAGTTTAGATTTGAAAGTCGATGTAGGAGGAATAATAGGAATTGAAGAGGTAGGTTGACTATGAATACAGTGGTCTTGAGTGCTGTTAGAGGTATGAGGGCGGTTATCACTTCCCGGTCGCCCACACCGTGGAAGGGTTCTTCTGGAGGTACCTGAAAAGGAAATTGGATTAGAGGTGGTCATAGTGACCTGAGAGCGTGACCACAGTGCCCAAGGGACAGCTGATTGAGGTCGGTCACACACGACCTTTTTATGAGTGATTTTTGTGTTAGCTCCGTACTTGTTGAGACCTTACCGTCGGAGACGGATATCCGTGGGATAAGGCGAGGTGTGCATTTTTAGGGTCGACCTTTTCTAACCCCACCCCTCCTTGTGGGAAGGCAGCATCGCTGTCATGCTGGTTGTCTGAAGGAAACACCTTACTGCTGTCACACCTCTGTACAGTCAGCAGTACGACTTCGCCTTCGGACCTTGGTTTTGTTGCTTTTAGTCTTACCGCTCTTCAACCGACCTGTCTGGCATGGTAGGACCTTGAGGAACGGTTGTTCCAACCAGTATAGCTCAGTTGCTTCATCACGATAGGCAAGCCCGACCACCACGTCAAGGTAGCAACAACGGTCAGGTATAGCTTAGATACTAGTGCCTTAACACGTACTTTTAAACTGAGCTTCATTAATTAATCGGTTAAAAAATACGTGATAAAACGTGTACTCCATTTCTTAAAGTATTTATTGAATAAAGGGATGAAACAAACCAGTTTACAAGCTGTAAATTAAAACACTGAATAAGTGAATAAATCACTTCATTATAGAACTAGGAAATATGTATAATTGTCAAGTATTTATTACTTTTAATGATAATTCATTGATTAGATTACCAAAATCCCATACATAAACAATTCCACTTGTATTTCCAGTAGCAACAAGTTTAGAACTAAAATAAAATTTAAAAAAAGACGAAAGAAATGTTTGTTTAAAAGAACACATTGAAAATGTGACTTACTCTTTTTCATTAAGTTTCGCAGATACAATTGTACTTTGAATATCATTATCTATTTGAGATGTCAATGTATACAATAGTTCAGGTTGAAAACTATACAGTTTTTCTTCATTAAAACATTTGTATATTGGATGGATCTCTTCATCACCAGTTAAATCATAAATAAGTATATGATTATGTTCGGTTATACAGATAAAAATATTTGATAAATTTAGGGAAAATTCAACAACACGTACTGAACCATTATTTGGATCTATACTTATCAATGGAGATTTTTGTAATACATTGAAAAGCTAAAATTAAACATATAAAATGAAAGAATTCAAATAAACCAATCTAAACAATTATTTAATGAACTATAAAAGGAAAAACTTCATTTTTCGTAATGATGTCATGTTTTTAATGTACATAAAACAATGTTAAAAACTGGGACACTAATATTATTACGTGAGCATATACTTTTAATAGTTGAAATCATGAGTCAATCGAAGCTAGACCACCAAGGAAAACCTGGAAGCACTGGACGGCCGTTTCGACCTAGTATGGGACTCCTCAGCAGTGGATTGGAATATCACGAAAAGCGGGATCGTGGATGAGCACTGCTGAGGAGTCCCATACTATGATAAAAAAGACGTCCAGTGCTTCCAGTTTTTCCATGGTGATCTAGCTTCAACTGACTCATGACTTCAACTATTGAAATTACTAAAAATCTCCACAAAACCTTTTCTGATATATACTTTTAACCATTTCTTATGTCATATTTTGACTGAGATAATGGGATGACTGCTTTATCCTTACAGTATTCGTTACAGGTTACTTAAAAACTGTAAAGCATGCTTATCGGGATCAAACAAATAGGATACAGTTTTTATTCTGATTTTAAACAGATCAACCAAACAGTAATCATTGCAATGGAACTGAATTTATTTCAAAGTCAACTAGTTTGGCTCAGTTCTAAACGGATTTTTGATTGACTGATTAATTGATGGTAACAAATGTCATATATATATATATATATATATATATATATATATATATATATATATATATATACTGCTGATCGATAGAATCCGATCTTTTCTACGTGACTGGTCACTCGTAAATATATCATTCCTTCAGGAGGTCAGTCAAAGCTTGATCTCAGCCTGTGAAGCTGGATGATACAGGTTCAGATATCACAAATCAACGTTTACTTAATTCGAAAGCAAGTTTCACATAAATTAGGTTGTTGGCTTTATTTATCTGTAACAAATGAAATGGAATTCAGGAATAATGACAAAAACCAGAACTTTTTAATTGAATAAAATAATAAAAAAATGTGATGTGTGGTATACCACTTCCAAGTACTTATCATATAAAACAGACATGACGATTGAATTCTATTCATTTTCCAAGCAAGATAAAAAATATCTTACAATTTAAAAGGATACAATGTTGCCGGTTGTGATGTCAATCAATGTTTATGCATAAACAAGAAAGCATAATGGATATTAGCGTCTTTAATGAGAGTGTACTTGAAACTAAATTTTGAGAATAGAAAGTTAGCTTCAAACTGGGTTGTTCAATATTAAGGTCTAAAATCCACTGCAAATCGTTGTAATGTTGAATCTCATAGAAAGTATAAGTTTCTGATAATTTACTGATAGGCTTCTCCCCTCATAAGTACCATTAATTAAGCAAAAACTTTAAATAATTATCAGATTAACTCGAGTTGCAAATAACACTAATTTTTCCATGCCATTTTGCAAAATATGGTATTGTATGTTGAATTATTATTTACATTTTGGTGATTTACAAGTTTCTACACTAACCATATTTTTCAACTGGTTATCTGTTTTATTCATACCTGAATACAGTGATTGAGCCCACAAGCTATAATAAGATTGGGATAGAATTTACTCCAATCTACTGAATAAATCGGACCATCCTGACGAGCTAGTGAAAATTTAACCGGTGACTGTAGGTATTCTTCCAAGGATTCTTCTAAAATAAAAGTTGGATTCAAATTATATATATTATTAGCTTATTTTACTTATTTCAAATTTATATTCCTTAGCTTATCATATCATATAAAGTGATTAAATTGTTCTATTTGTGAGGGCATGATCATGTGATGAACTATAGAACACTGTTATTTTCGACAAGACGTTGATTTAGACCAGTCCTAAAAGGGAAAGAAATATGGTTTAAACATTCTTGTATATTTACTTAAGTCGTTCATAAAACTTAGAATGTTGTCAGGGCAAATTACTATATCCAGAAATGTACCTCTATCAAAATTTAACTCAAATAACGAAACTAAACAGTCTTAATGCACACCGTTTGACATGGACAATTTTGATGATAACTTATCAAAACATTCAACCAAAAATCACAAAATACGCAGAATCTGGTACACAGGTATATCGGTTCAAGTTACCACTCTAAAATACTTGGTAGTTGTAAGCAAAAACGTTTCATGTATGTAATGAAAGACATTCAATAAAGAAGCTTTAGAAATAATTCGAGTTTTGGACTGTTTTTTTTTCATTGTCTAGTCTAATGCTAGTCAGTGTGAAAAATATTTTTTTTTTCTAACCGGAACATTAATAACATCTTCAGACGTGTAAGAAATAAATAAACTCTTCAAGTTCAAAAGTATATTGTACATGAATTCTGCAAATGTTGTTAAGTGTAATAATATGATACTTACTATATGTTTCATCCCAGTTAACAGAATTTATTTGACATATTAATAATCCTCCTGTTTCTGTTCCAACAACAAATTTTTCTGGATCATTTTTAGCTAATGAAATACAAGTTATATTAACTGCTCTGTCACTATTTATTGTTTCGGATAGATCTGACCTAAAGAGACTGCATTTCTTTAATGAATTAAAATGGTTGGATATTGGTAAAGGACTCTGATCTTTATGTCTTATTTGAAAACTATAAGAAAATTAAATTGCAAACATATTCATATTATTATTAAATTGGGTGACTTGATAAATTAATATCGAATAATCAGTGGAAGCGACCACTTACCTCAGTATCTCATGTCTTATTGAGTTATAGAACAAGGGAAAAAATAATTTGTGAATGTAAAGAATTATTAATTATCATATTATTATGACTTTTTGCATTACTAAATGACCACAAAATTTATACTAATCAAGACTACTTCTTACAAGTGTTGATAAGAAAATACGGTGAGAGTATAATTTACGGTCGACATTTGAGCGACGCTAAAGTGACCTTGAGAGTGTTCACCTAATAATTAGGACCGAGTGAGGGTTATAAACCAGTACGAGGAATTAGAATTATGATTTATAGTTGATAGTTAAGTATAAGAATTGGATTTAGGGTTTTCATCACAAACTGACATCAGCTATAATGCCAAAACTCTATTTAACCGAATGGATAGGCGAATTTCGCTCCAAAATCCGAGACCTGTTATCTTATACCTGATTGGTTCGTCAATAAATTGTAGTCTCGCCATACATTCTTTTGAAAACTACTAGACATTAATTTTACATACAATTTTTATGTTTATATTATACATCTAATCTACAAACTTTGGCATCAATGAAAATATAAAACCCATTAACTGAGAAAATCATAAACAAAGTTCTAAATTGGTTGACTCCATAAACATTTAATACTAATTATGAAAGACACTATATATTCCGTATGAACTATAAATTAGTGATCATTAAGATAAAAATGCATATCTGTAGATTGATATGCTATCCGAAAAAATATATCTTGAAGTGTCATCGATATGATACAGTGTAATTGAAATTACTTGTTTAGGTGGTATATGAGGTAATTGTTTAGTTTTATAGTAATGATAAACATTTACATACTGGTAAATAGCTTCGAAATGGAATTATCAACCTTCTATTCCTAGACTCAGAGACTTAAATAGTCAATTGAATAGGTGGTGTGACAGTAACTTAATGATATCATTGGGTAGCGGTAACGCTTTATCACAGTACGCTTGAATATAAAAACGAAGATCATAAGATGGCAAATCAGTAGTCTTCAAGCTGCGATATCAATAGGTCTCAGATTTTTTATGGTATACAGTCGCATATGAACATTATTTGAGGAGTTTAAACCAGGCTTGCAATGTTAGTCTTGGTTAAAAAATCCTTCGCAAAAACTACACGTCATAACAGTTGGTCAAAATTGCAAATAAATATAAAGAAATACTCAATCGAAACTAACCACTTACATCTTAACACAGTTCACTTTTCCTAAGTGATGCAGATCAATTCGCCAACAAACAATTCTTCCATCACTTCCTGAACTTAATAACCGATAAGTTGTTGTATACCGACTGATTTTATCGGAAGTTAGATTTTGTAAGTCAGACTCTAGACTATCTGCTATCCAACTGATTTGATTAATACAATCCTTATGACCACTGTGCATACTTCCGATACTGGCTAAGAGATGATCATTTTCGTTGGCACGATTCCAGACGACTAAATCTCCTAGACAACAGTAGATAAACAACGCAATAAATAAGAAGTAATTTGACGATGTACATATATAATAGGTAATGTGCAAGTTATTTTGTATCTTTAATACATTCCTCGGGTATGGTAACAACAAACGAGTGTAGCAGAGCTTATACATGGAGTACTGATGTCGATCTCAAATTGAATAATCTGGCTATGCAGTTCATTTACTGAAGATGCGTAAAACAGACCCCAGTCACCTTCTACCTGAAATGTAATAGTTTTTAGAGTTTGAATGAAGTAGAGCAGCACTAGAGACAGCTAAACTAAGATATGTCACCAGCCTATGAGGTTATGGGCTGTTGCATTGAGTAGTATTTAGAAATGTAGATTTCCTAGTTGGGATCATTGATTTAATTATAACCTACAGTTACAGTCTTGAAGTAAAGCAAACACATTCATTTTTCCATATGTCCTGAATTTAAAATTATTTGATACCTCTCATTCTTTGATGTCATTCATTCTTTTAAAAGCTGATTACTTGCATTTATTTATCATTAATTATACAGTTATAAAAGAACATTTACATTAATATAATACAATTCATTCAAGAATTATATAACATTCGTTGAGGTTGGATATTAACACCGTTGGATGCCGGCTCAGTGGTCGAGTAGGTTAAGCGTTCGCGCGCGAGACCGAAGGCCCTGGGTTCGAATCATGCGAGCGGGATCGTGGGAATTCACTGCTGAGGAGTCCCATAATAGGACAAAACGGCCGTTCAGTGCTTCCAGGTTTTCAATGTTGGTCTAACATCAATCGGTTTATGATCTCAATCAATAACACTACGATTGTATAGAGATAACAATATCTTTGTAATAGATATTGTTTTAATTATTAGTTTGTGGAATCAGTAAAGTATGACTGTCAATGTCTTTACTGAGATTTCACAAGAAGACTTTTATTTCACCAAAGAAAACAATTTATCCTTGTATTTTATTTTGATATCTTTTAGAGTTTTAAATATAGTTCGACTTGTCTCTTAATGAGGAAGTTTGGGATATACCAACTAGTTATCCAGTATTACTTATTTCTTAGTGATTCATTAGCTGTAGTTATTCAGAGGGAACTTAATGGTTCAGACAGTTGTAAAATGCAAAGAAGCCTCTACCTAAGGAGCTGCCGTGTCTGGTAGCAACAGACCACTGATGCCTCTAAGTAAGAATCATGGGCTATCAAACAAACAGAAATAAAAGTTACTCATCAGTTTGTATAAGATTCTATATTTATTCGTTAAGGATATGCTGCGTTTTCAAGTGGACGACTCCTGGGAATTTGTTTGAACCATGACAACCTATACAGGATTGCCGCACCTGACTACTCGTAAAGAGTAAAAGGTATGCTTACAATCTGATTTACCCCTAAATTTCGAGTATTCTCGTAACGTTTGTGTTGAATTAGAGGACATTCAAGGATGTTTTGGATAGTTTGGGCTTAAAGGATAAAGATTTGGTTACTTAAGGCGTTCATCGTAAGGTTTAAATTTGAGTCCTCTGACTGATTTAATTGTCTACCTTTTGTTTACTCTCCAAATTGTTCTAATTCGTTTGGAGTGAAGAAGGAAACACTATTTATATTAAGTAAGGCCAAATAGAACAACAGGAAACCAAGGTATCTAAATCTTTTCTAGTCAGTTACACTTTCAGAGAGGATTAACTAAGTTTTATGTAAAATTCGTGGAAAAATTACTGTTTGGTCTTCGTAAAACGTCATATTAATCAAGTGATTTTTAGAGGTTATATATCAGTGTAAATTGAAATTACTTTATCACTCTATTTTACGATTAGTGATAAGGTTCTTATGGGTAAAAGACCAAATATTGGCCAGTTCCATGAGAGCATGCTTATTTGCGTGCGATTAAATGTGAGTTAACCTGTCAGTTTAAAATCACTTATTTCAAAACATTCAGTTCCCTTAATAAATATGAAAAAAGCAGGCCAACAAAACTTTAAGAACAAAAATTAAGTTATTTTAAGGCTCCGATTATCTGTTCTTTATAACTGCATGTTTTTTTCACACATAAAAACAAGTATCAATCCTGACTATGTCTAGTAAGACGTCCTATGTCCTGTTCCACTTTGATATTTAGCTCGTTTTCGAATACCCATATCAAATCAACTAACTAAAGTGTGCCAAACCTTTAAATTTAACTGTACTAGCCCCTGAATTTTTAGGCTATTCGCAGACTTTTAGTAGAATGAATTCAGTTTGTCTTGTATATCCTGTTGTTTTTGCTTTGATTATATCTGAAGACAAGTTAAGAAAATAGTTAAAGTGTTACTGACCTAATTCAAGACCAGGATCAGCTGATGTGTGTTGGGAAGCCTATCAATCCGATCAGTCTGTTTAACAATCAAACAATAACTACGATGCGATAAGTTATAAATTTACTTAGTTTAAATGTCAAACGACTCAATAAGCGCAGAAGTTCAAAAGATACGGTGGTAGTGTTTAATTCTCTGAGTTGAATGGTTTAACTATGAAGTCTTTATTTTCCTTGTGGACAACATCATATTCATAAAATTAAAACGAAGTGAGTCCTGAAAATTCCTTCCTAACTGAAAAAACAGCTCATGGAATTTGACTGATTATCAATAGGGTAGGCTTTTGGCCACTTGTAAAGACATTCCAATAGTTCACTTCTTCTGCACTTCTTAATCAGGTCGACGAACATACCAATAAAACTTTGCCACTAAACTTCGCTATTTATAATATCCAATAAAATGTAAATCATTCCGATGAGCAAAAAAGCATCTTCTCAATCTCAACATGATACTCTAGGTACCCTTCACTTACTAATTGTAGAGGATATATATATATATATATATATATATATATATATATATATATATATATTTGCGTTTGAACTAACCTGTAAATGTCCCTCCAGCTAACAAAGATGGAACTATTGGATGAAATTTAATGCACATTAGACAAGTATCTGTTACATATTTTTGCTTAGAAGTATTGAATACCAATGTTTCACTTGACACATTCCAAAGTGCAACAATGCCATTATGTGTACACCAATCAGTATGGCATAATGATCCATATCTGTGATACGCTATGTTAAAGTGGTGAACTAAAGCATTCGTATGATAAACGGCTGATTTAGTTTTAAAGCAAAAATACATTTTAGTTGTAAACAAACAGATCCAATGTTCGAACCAGTAAATAACTAAGTGACACCTAACTTAACCTTTTTCATAATTATAACTAGATGTGTTTAGTCCAATCTACCTCAAATTTTCTATAATTTATTCCTTTGTCAAAAACTCAACCTATTATTTGAAGCAAATTGTCAGCTAACGAATTAGATTTAAAATACAGGAAAAAGGATACGATATCGCTAGTAGTGTCCCGTTAGAATTCCAAGATAATCCTGTAACAGATAACTAACAAATAATTCATCAGTAATTTATTATATTCACACTACTTCAGATTCTTTCGCTTCATTTAGAATGAGTGTATGTTTCACTGCTGCATTATTTCTATAAAATAGTCTTCTTGACTGTGATTGTCTAAATACTTTGGAGTGGATATTTTTTCGTATCTCTTTTGTAATAATTGGCTCAACGCGTTTAAGAAAACATAAAATTCTTGTTTCTTCAGTCAACTTATCTTTGTGAGTTAGTATTTCATCGTGCAGTGTTTCATCTTGATGACAAAAGTTTGTTTGAAGCTGAAAGTTAGAGAGAAATCAATAAAATCACTATCAAGAAAAGTAATTACTTCTTGAGTTTCAAACCGTCTCGATTGCGTACCACGATGGAACACTTGATAAGATTCCGTTTGCATTTGTAACTCGACAAATGATCTATAAGATTATTAATTGTGTAAATTTATTGAGAAAGAACTTAGAAAAATGAGTAATTATGCATCGTTACAAAAGAAATGTAATGCATGCTGAAGTACGTACAAAATTGACATATTTTCAAGCTATATGAGTAGGCTTGAAACCAATTTAGAGATGTAATTACAAGCATTTTGTTCAGATGAATTACTTATGACTATTATTTTAGAAATGAAGTGTAAGGTATGAGTAGATCATTAGTATTTGATAGTAGATGGTTTTAATATATTTTCCGCTCAGACTGCAGTCAAGAATGAAGTCAAGAATTATAAATATTTGAAGCAGAGAAACTTATCTGGTAGGCAGTTGGCTTACAAAGCATACATACAACGAACCACTTAACATTGATTTGACCAATTCATAAGTGTTAAAGCTAACCAGTGTGAGGTTTCGAGAATGTCAAAATCTGTGATTACAATTAAATGAATGTATTCTCTTTGTCATTATCTAACTATGAAAAAATTTGTTTTTGTTATTGCGCTTTTGCTCATATTCATCTTGGTTATATAATTTTTCCCCATTGGTTTACACTTTATGTACCACAACAAAATATCGCCTTTTATTCAGGTTTATGTATTTATGATTCATTCCATTGCGATGATTTAAAGAACAATTCTTCCAGGAATTGCAAATCCAAAAGTGTTCTAGTTTTATTTTATTCAGGGTTCTAGGTACCCAACATTAAGAGTCCTGAGGCTCAACATATCTATTTTAAAGATGCGATTAATAAAAAAATAGAATGTGTGTTTATCTAAAACTGTTTGTAACTCATACCTTTAGTTTGATTTTAAAATTTAAAGACTTGCAAGATAACTGTCATTGTATTCTTAATTATAAGTAACCTTTGCAAAGGAGGAAGTTGACCACTGATAAACCATCAGACTGTAAAGTTTCTGAAAAAACATACTGGTGCTACTTTTCAAGATTTCTTTAGCTTCATAATTTGAAAAGAATAGTGGCTTGTAAACAAGCTTCTGAAACCAGCTCAAAGTTCAATACCGACTGTCGATTTTTAGAGTAAACTTAGTTTCCAGATTCACTTATTCGGTAAATTTGTGGTTTGCTGGGAGTCGCTAAAGCGAGTTTTATATGTAATTTGTTCTGATTACATATGCGTCACAGCTATTTGTTCTGAAATAAATTCCTGTTTATAATAATAAATGCATATTTCAAGTTAAAAATCATCTTTCCCTGAAATCTTTTTTTTATTATAATTGACTTAGTGGCCTGAATTTTGAAGTAGTGTCAGCATTCCATGTCAAGTCCTCATAATGATGATGATGATGATCGAGTGACTGTGTCTCTGGATATACCACACTGATTTAGATGTATTTGTAACAAATGAAACATTTAATCCAATTGGTAAAGTTTGACAAAATTAATAAATAACTTTGGTATTAGACAAAATTGACCTTTGAATATTGTGCACTACATGTTAGCTACGGACTATTGTTAAAAATGATAATACAAAAACTAAGCATTTTATTTTGCTTACAGCTTTAATAGCTGTTTTTTCATTATTTACTAGTATAGTTCTCATGAGTGTTTATCAGTCCATGAGTTTGTAGCACACCCAACACATTTTATTCACCTATAGGTAAATGAAATGTTAGAGATGATTTTTATTGTGTTTTGACTTAAATTTGCTAAAAGATCATTTAAAAATCAGGTACGGATAACTTTTATTTAGCTCTTATATTGCATGCTAGTTCTAACGGTTTAGATTATGAGATTTCTAAGACCTAGTCGTTGATAAGCAATCGACTAAAAGTGGAGTATAGTTTACACTGTTATGGTAAGTATGATCTCGCTTACTTCGTTTCTGAACATTGTGAATAACATTGAACCCCATGAAAGATTTCATCAGTAAATTCTTGTGTCATTACTAAAACTTTAAATGAATAATGTATAAATATTTGACGTTATGAGTATTAAAATTAACAAACAATTATACAATGATAGAATATTCTTTGATGTGATCATAAATGTTTAAGCTAATAAAACCATGTAAAATATCACGGTTAAAAGTAGGTAAAAATTCATATCCATATTTCCAGACACTGTCTTAGAGTCGATATAAGTGTCATCTATTTTGTTGTAATCAAACAAACGTAATAATGGTTTTAAGTGCTAAATACCGATTGTTCGATTATAGCAATGCAAGTCACTTAATGAAATAACCTCTTAATGATGGTGGTTATGAAAAAACGTTTACTCACACTGAAAGTTAACTCTTGATATTAAACATTTATTATATTATACTTCATAAGTTAAAATCCGAAATATATGCGAGTACAACTTGCTTTGAAACCCGGAAATGAGTTGATCATATTATTTTCATCAACCATTTGCAGTAGTATTAAACAATATCTCGATTGCTTGAAATCACACTTTAAGACAATAACTATCTAACTTACAGTAAAAGTCAGAAAATTGTATAATATAAGACATTAGAAATTCTTCGTAGTTATTAAAAAAGACGGAGTATAGGATTTATTACAAATCTACATGACATTTGGCAGCTAGTTTTGTCATGAAATGACTCCTTCCCAATACAAAGTTTTAGCAATCACAAAAAAGAAACGAGGGTCAAGTAACAGTATTTTCAGATCCAACTAAGGAACATGTCTGTTTATCATTCGAGTGGGGTACTAAAGGCTACAGTGAGTTCAAACAGATTAGAACTTCTCAATCTATCTTCACACAACACACCATAAAATAGATCATTTTCCAGTTTAATCATTGTCTTTTGAACTAACTCCAGCTTATCCACTTCATATTTAAAATATAAGCTCGCTTTCCTATTCAGATATTTAGGATATGGTTTCACATATGTTGAGTAACTATTTTGAAATTTCTCTATTCAGGTTTTAAAATGCTTTGCATGCTCTCTGCAAGATTTAGGAGCCTCTGAGACAATCCGTTCCAGTTATTTGTAGTTATATGATCGTTTCTTTCTATGACTCTCAACATTTTATGACCTATATCCTCAGGTGAAGTCACATCTGATGATTTACATCACTACACATCTGCAAAAATTCACTTATGATTCAAATGGTTGTGGACGGAAAAGAAGCTTTCGTTTAACGGGCTTCCGTGTCTAGTAGCAGAGGATCACTTATACCTTCAGGCTGGAACCACTTTCTGTTGGATTTGGATGATCACCGCTTTGTTCATTTAACCTGAGCACGTAAATGTTCGTTTTTTTTCTATCTTTCTAGCTTCAGCGTGAACGTTTTTTTTAGTGTGACGTCTTTCCTAAACAATAGGATAAATAAATTTGCCGTAGTTGGTAGGTTTTTAAATGAAATAAGACAGTAGATTCTCTGGAATTGTCCCAATGAAACAAAATACTGCTAACTCTGACGAGTCACTTTTGGTCAAAGAGAAGGTATTATTTTAAAATTAATTAAGGAATTCATTCATGAATAAACAAGCAAATAGAATGAACTTACATTTGACAATGAGAACATTCAATGATAATCAACAATGTCGGAAACGAAAAGTGAGGACAATAAGATAGTTGAAATTATGAGTCAATTTGCCATTTTTTGAAATATAGATTAACAGAAATTTACTGACAAGGTTGTAGTTATGGCAACATCTTTTATTCAATATTGAAACTGAGCGCTAAAGAACGAATTAATATTTCAGAACTTGATTTTGGGTTCTGAGAGAACGCTACTATGGTTAAGTGATGTGAATATTTTCTTAAGGACCTTTTGACCTGTTGGGCCTCTTGCGATTATCCTCTGGTTCTGATTTGCAGTAGCATTGGGACTTCGGTTTTTAAGAAGATTGTTATTTAAAATTTGTTGGCCAGTTCCGACATAAGGGGTCGTTTTGGATTTTTTGTTCGCATAGTGTGTCTTACTAGCGAGACCGATATCTTCACCAGGGCGTGTTTCATTGGACATTTTCGCTGTCCCCTAATTGATCTAGACAGCGTTCCACAATATTTTACATGAATAGGGCGCTCGAATATCGAACTTTACAAGCCTGAAAGGTATGTGAATATCAACCTGACTGCCAAGTACTAGCTCAAGTACCGTGTGACTTACCATGTTGGTTGGCTGTTGGGCGTTTGCTGACCAGATGGCGTGACAAGTTACACTCTACAGTTTGTATTTCCTAGCTCGCATTTGAGTGGATCACTCAACCGATGGTCTTTGAGGTGTCAGTCAAATTTCGTCTGCGACATGTATTAAGTCTCAGGTTCGCCTTAATTGAAAATACATTTCGCAATCTCTCAGGATTGTACAGTATTGGTCCTATTGCTCCCTACGTTCTAATATGATACATTAACACTGAAATACTAAATAAAACCAAGGAGCTTCGGCTGACGTCTTAGTCCAAATTTTTGGCGTTTCGGGAGTTATGCTTCTGCCATCATCCATCCAGACACTCACCCAATGCTTTTTATCACTATCAACTATAACTCTATTAACAACAACTGGTGTTTTCACCTGTGTTTAACCTTGGATAGTAGCTCATATAGTTACGCGTTTGGCTGTGTCCGTGTTTGACGATTTTGATATACTTGTGGGGATTAATACTCTTGCTCCCAATGGAGTTTCATGTTTCGTTTCTATTAATTGTTACGGTGCATTTCTTTCTGTACTGTGGGCACGTGTGCGAGAACGATAGAAAAGGTCAACTTGACAAAACCCATGGAACTGCTAAGATGCTGTTGTATCATCACGACAGTGAACACGGCCACTACAGAAATTACATTCAAACGCTGAGTCTACGCTTCTAAGGAACCAAGAGCATGCTACGTCATCACCGATTTTGTGTTGTTTATTCCTAATATTTGTCACCACGGCACCTTATGCCAACCTTCCTTAAGCTTACTGGTCCCATTGAGAGTAGGTACTCGGATAGAAGAGTGGTCCTGATTACGTGGTTGGATATTCAATTTTGACGTTCGAGTTGAGGAAAACATAAACTTTGGTTAAAAAGAGACCCGAATATAGATTAAAATATAAGACAGGGAGAGGAAACAAATGGACCATTATACTATCCTTTCCGTAACCCCGACTAACAAGAGTCTTCCGGCTACCTAAAGAAACCTCTGGATACGCTCAGTCACGGAGCTCCTAGCTAAATACTCTATATCGATGGGAAGCACAAGACTTGAAACAGTACACGTGTACACTGATAAACTTAACATACAATCTGCCGTTATTTGGCTCTTTCCGAAAGACAAAGCTTTCGCAGCTTCCCCTACGCCTACCTTTGCCTTAGGACTAATACACTAAGTTTGATTAAATCTTATTTCTCAACTTTCAGCCTACAATTAAGGACCTGTCTAGTTGACGGGGACACATGATGGTTATGTAAACCATATATCTCTTGAGCAATGCTGCTGCTGGAGTAATGGAAAAGGGGAAAGAACAGTTCCTTGTGGCACACCAGCTGCAGTTCTTAAAAAGTAGAATACAATCCTCTTAACACAGTATAAAGTTATTCAACTAGAAGTATTAATGTGTTAATAATGATGACAAAGAACAGAATTAATGTCCGAAATGTAGTTTTGAGATGAGCATCAAACATATTCCGAGTTAGTTTCCAAAGTAAGTGCTGTATTACAATGCAGGACAACAATAGCACTCGTGGTATGTTTTCGCATTTGTAAGCAACCCATATGTATAAGAACTCTGAATTCAAAGTAGAGATCATTATTCTATTGTTTTGAGAGAAGGAGAAGCAGTTTCCATCGGGCTAAAGTGCAGAAGTTCCTTGACAGTGGAATTAATTTTATCATTTTCCGTATTCCTGGTAAGCAATTTGCTTAAAACAACTCATTTGATATATTCATCAATGAATGAAGCGGAAAATCAGCACATTTGGTCAGAGGAAGATTTCGAATGTTCTTAAGCAGTAAAAAGTGTGACAAATCAAGCAACTCCAAACAATTTGAAACACCAACTATGTGGTGTGTGCTACTAAAGTTGATAGATATGATTAGTATGTGTCATCAATCGAAAGTGAAATGCCTGGCGGCAGAAGGTTAAGATGATCGAAGAAAAGAGAATGAGAACAAGGGATGATTGGTGTGGAGACGAAGGAACAAGCAAGTTTGAAACGATTGATTGAGATTTTACAAATGAAGCGTTTATTATATGTTTCTCAGATTTTACTGCGGCATTCTGTAATTTTGTACACAAATACACTCGATTGTCCTCACTGGTGTTCTTGTTTACTACATCTACAGTAAAACGTAATATGAATATTTTCTTCGAACTTGTAGAAATAGGAGACATGATATCATATCCTTGACATATAAAAGACCTATTTTAGTCGCAATGATTCAGTTGAGTTTTAACGGTAATCCATTTTTTACCAAATTCTTTAAGTAATTTCCAATATTTAAAGAGTATTTACAAGTTACGAGTTCTTGGGCATATCTTTAATTTTGAGGTGATGAATTGACTAGGTTCTGATTATCCAGAGATGTGTAGCGTGGTGTCGAGTTGAGCTTGACTATGAACACCGCTACCAGACTACGTGCCAATAGACCAATAAGATTCCGGTAGGTCAAAAATCAGAAGACAGATGATGGCTGTAGTCGAGATGTATTTGTTGGCGATCTCGTGGTATCGAAAGAATACCGAGATCGTGCCAAAGGAGTACAAGCGTGGTTATTGAGCGTAACCGAATTCGTACAAGTTCAAAGTCAACGGGAGAGTAAGTATAATGGCTGTCATTAGCACAGTTAAACAAACGAGCACAGCAAAACAGTCACTGGTACAATTGGTTATAATAATAATTGTTTTCATCGAACCAATCGCGTTCTGTTGACAAAAGTAGGTCACTACAGGGCCCCCCGCTAGAAAAAGTTTACACTTTCGATAGTTAGTGGTTTGATTCGTGGGACTGA